CAAGAACTCCTGGTACAAGGTATAGCACAACACACACACACACACACACCTGCACACACATCCCATGATGCACTGCTTCAGCTATGTCACACCCGGCCGTTAGATCGCCCCCTGCAGGACGAGTCATACATCAGTCATTTAATGCTATTGAAACGGGGCGTGTCCTCATGATTGACAGCTGTGATTGACAGCTTCTCAGAGCAGACTGTGGGAGCTTCAGGAGGAGGTTGCAGCAGCAGGGTTTGAGTTCTGTGTGATTAAATGAGTTGAGCAGTGAACTGTTCTGTGTTTAGAGTGTTCAGTGGGAGAAGACGCCGTCGTGTCCTCGAGATTTTCCACAGGCCCTGATCCACACATTCAGCTCATCACAACACACACCTGTGACTTACAAGTGGAGGGATGAAGAACTGTGTGTGTTACTGCTGTGACTGTACGCTTCTCAGTGTGTGTGTGTGTGTGTGTGTGTGTGTGTGTGTGTGTGTGCGCTTCATCAGTTGTGTTGTGTGTGACCTGCGCAGGTGATCTTGAGTATCCTGGTTCCTCCGGCCATCCTCCTGCTGGAGTACAAGACCAAAGCGGAGATGTCCCACATTCCCCAGAGTCAGGACGCACACCAGAGCATGGAGGACAGCGAACACAACCTGCAGCACCCAGACGACATACAGATGGTACAAACACACACACACGCACACACACACGCACACACAAAAACACACACACACAAAAACACACACACACATAAACACACACACACACACACACACATAAACACATACACACACACACACACACACCAGAGCATGGAGGACAGCGAACACAACCTGCAGCACCCAGACGACATACAGATGGTACACACACACACACACACACACACACACACACACACACACACCCACACACACACACACACACAGCTGTAGTGTTGGTCAGTGTTGATGTGGTTCTGCTCTCTGATGCTCAGAAACAGTCAGTCTGTACACTGGTGATGTGTGTTTTTAAGTGTCGCTGCCACAGACTGACAGGTGTGTGTGTGTGTGTGTGTGTGTGTGTGTGTGTGTGTGTGTTAGGATGTGTTTAAGGAAGTGCGTATGAGTGATAATGCAGAAATGAAGAGTGAGTCGGAGGTGCACGTGCGCTCCCGCAGGTTACCCATCACACGCAAGTTCTACGCCTTCTACCACGCGCCCATCGTCAAGTTCTGGTTCAACACGGTACGTAGACTCCTGTTCTCACGCCTGTGTGCATGCGTGTGTGTGTGTGTGTGTGTGTGTTTCCAACACTTCAGCTGTTCCTGTTCCCATGTGATAATATCAGAGAGTGTCGTTCCTGCATAAACCAGCCGCGTTACACACTGATAAACATCACTGCTCTAGTGGAAGATTCACCTGTGTGTGTGTGTGTGTGTGTGTGTGTGTGTTCATCTGTTCTCGTCAGCTCAGTGTGTTGATGAACTGTTAAATATTCTCTGCTCAGTTTATAATGATTGTGTGTGA